AAAATTTAAATTGAAGAATAACAAATTGTAGTAACTTTAAGGCATTTAACTCTGTAAACAAGACTCTTAATCCAGGGTCAAAGAAAGAACTGATAAATTTACCTTTTTATGGCATCTAAAATGCTAAGTTTACATTAACTTGCTTATAGATCATCCAGAAAAAATATATAACTGTTTGCTGCTTGAAAAGATTTATACTTGTTGCCACTCCTTCGCCCAGGTGTCCAATTAGATATCAAGTGCATACAAAAACACTTTTCTTTGCACATAGTGCTTTTTATCTATGACAAGAACGACTTTAAGCATGTGTGTGAATAAAGTGAGACCGGAGATGAAGTTTGAGGAAGTAGGGAAAACACCTGTCATGAAGTGACTTCACAGGTGGGGGAATACCTGGACTGTAATGTCACATGACTGCTGTAACAATGTGCACACAATTCTAGCTTTAAACTGAACATGCAATCTGCTCATCACAACAAAGTAACAAAGGGCATTTGAGATAATGGTGAAATTTTTTGCCAATCACTTGAATCTAAGGAAATTGTGCTTATCTCAGCTGTGACTATTATCTGCTAGTACTTTACCACAATGAATGAATTATGATGGATAAATTAATTAATATCGGTCAAGCACTTTGTAGTTACAAAGGTTCTTTACTTAAATGTTTGGCAAAGTTAGGTTATAGGTTCAAATCTTGCAAAGCAGCATGATCTCTGCTGGAAGGTTAATTTTCACTGAGTAATAATTTAACAACACTTGTTTAGAGGGCAGATAGCTAAATCTTATGAAATATTTTTATAAAATTTACAAACAGTGAAATTAATTTGGTTGTTGATTCTTGATAAAACTTGTAACAATTAGAAAGTCTCTGTTAATTTTATCACACATGAATATTGTTACTCAAACAGAATAAAATGTCCTGGAACAAATTATTATTCTGCTATTTTAAGTAAGGTTTTGTCCTTTTGTTAATGATTTTATGCCATTCACTTTTAAGGCAATTTACTTCCATAATTATTTCTTTCAAGCATTTTGGAAGTAATCGTTTTAAAATTCAAACAATGATTTTTGCAGCAGAGATATAACATTATACACTTTAATTGATTCATTATACACTGTGGAAGAAGTGAATTGTTCTGATGGAGTATGATAATAATTTACATATAAACAATTAACATTTAAAACATAATGAAAGGTTAACTTTCATATAATCAATGCATATACTATGTTTTAATGAACAGTTCTTGTTTAAACAGCCATTTAAAATCTTATCCACAATCAAGTAGATAAACTTATTTTAATGAAGTACGTGACTGACTGCTTAAATATGAATTAATGAAAATAATATCTTGTGGCCTTTAATTTATTTGGATATGTGAAATTAATTAATTATAAATTTTGATTTGCTTTTAAATATATTATACTATTTTGGTTGCAGTCATTTATTTCGAAATTGTTCAAAAAAAAAAAATGAATTTAAGAAATAAAATGGCAATTATAAGCATCATTTTCACACAGATATTCTTGTTGCCAGATGGCCCCTTAAATATCTCGGCAACCCTCAATTGTTACAGAGGTTTGTGTTTTCTTAAAAAGCTTGTTTCATTCATAAACGAGTGCATTGTGGGAATCTTAAGCCTGTTCTTATACATAAAAGGGAAGGGCACTTGACAGGTTTGCTTGTTGTTACAGTCAACTTTGACAAAAACATGTCAAATGGTATTCAAGTTTATATTCAAACGTTATTAAAGGGACTCCAGCTTTTCACAGGAAGTAGAATAGAGGGTAGCTGATTTATTTTTCGCACTTTGTCATTTAATAATCCACTTGTATTGAAATAAAGCTGTGAAAATGAACTCGTTTCCTGTGCGAGTATTCCTATATATAGAGTTTGTCTTTGATCGTGTATTAACAGAGGCCATAATAAATTGACTGATAAAAATGCTTTGAATTGTTCAAAGGAATTACTTTGAAATTGTCAAAATATGTCTAAATTATCTCAAGGTTAAAATGTTTATGCAGAAAAAAGGCATTTCTTTATCTGTTATTTACAAAATTTCATTAATGTATTAAAACATAAATTTTATTTCATTACTAAATTTTGAATTGGTTATATCCTTGTTTTTATGACACCCGTATTTTGATCATTTAGAATGATAATAATCTATAAATTGTGACATATTGTCCCCATTGTGGCTTAGGGAATTGCAGCCACTGTTTATTCCTATGTGATTGTAAGAGGCCACTAAATGGGTTCAAAATACTGCAGTCTATGCATCATTTAAATACCTCAAGCAGGTGAGGTGATTTTGACCCCTGGTGTTGCTTGAGGTTTGTAACGGCCAAGGTTAGCCAAAAGCATCTTTCCTTGCAGTGTTTCAGCCCAATAATTTATTACCTAAATTGTGTTGGTCAAACAAAACAAAACAAAGTGTCTTCTTTTATGACTTGTTAATAAACAGTATGTTCACGCAGTATTTCTCAAAACTGATGTTTATCATTATATATATTCATAATAATGGTCAGGGATTATTAAGTATCTTGGCTGTCTGAAGAAAGTTATATTTTCTCCTACTTTTCTAAGTTTTGGTATTAGAGTTAAAAACTTGTGTATGTGAGGTTTGACCATAGGTTATTGCATCATATGCAGTAGATTTCGTACATTCAATGACAGCAATGTTTGTCAAGTCTCTGATTTAATGAATATTAAAATGGTAGTGATTGAGTAAAAGGTAAAATGGTTTTGGAGAGAACAACGCTAGCATTCATCTGGGGAAAAAATCAGAGATAATCTAGTCATTAAGGATGTTCAGATAATAATGGGAAATCCTGGGAAAACATATAAATTATGTGCAAAAAAAGAGAGAAAAGGCAAAAGTAATAACAGTGAGATTTAATGTGATATATATCTAACAGTATAGAGATATCTTCTTTTTATGCCACCGCAGCATCTGCGATGCGGTGGCATATAGCGATTCACCTGTGTGTGTGTGTGTTTGTTTGTTTGTTTGTTTGTGTGTGTGTGTGTGTGTGTGTGTGTTATATAGATTATATAGTGAACTTAAAAAATCTTCTTGTGAAAAACCACTAGTCCAATTTCAACCAAACTTGGCAGGATTGATCCTTGGGTGAAGGGCTTCCAAAGTTGTTCAAAGAATTTAATTCCATGCAGAAATCTGGTTGCCATGGCAACCAAAAGGAATTATAAGAATAAATTTAAAAAATCTTCTTGTAAAGACCCAAAAGGCCTAGAGCTTAGATATTTTGCATAAGGCATTGTCTGGTAGACCTCTACCAAGATTGTTCAAATTATAGCCCTGGGGTCAAAATCGGCCCCACCCCGGGGGTCATTGATTTTCACTATATGTACATATAGTAAAAACTTAAAATACCTTTTTGTAAAGACCCATAGGCCTAGAGCTTAGATATTTTGCATAAGGCATTGTCTGGTAGACCTCTACCAATATTGTTCAAATTATAGCCCTGGGGTCAAAATCAGCCCTGCCCCGGGGGTCATGGATTTTCACTATATGTACATATAGTAAAAATTTAAAATACCTTCTTGTAAAGACCCAAATGGCCTAGAGCTTAGATATTTTGCATAAGGCATTGTCTGATAGACCTCTACCCAGATTGTTCAAATTATAGCCCTGGGGTCAAAATTGCCCCCGCCTCGGGGTCATTGATTTTCAATATATACATATAGTAAAAAATAAAAAAAATCTTATTGTCTGAAGGTACAAGGCTTAGAGCTTTAATATTTGTTAAATGATATCATATATAGGTACTCTACCAAAGTTGTTCAAATTTTGCCTCTAGTGTCAAAATTAAAAGTGAACTTTGATATCAGCTGACCTAGATTTTGACAAAGTGTATTACATAACATTGTCCTTTGATGCAGTCATGAAATGTTAGGCTGTGTGAAATATGACCTTCACCACCAAATTCACTAGACTCAAGTGCATTGATATATTCCTACTCTGATCTTTTATTGAGTTAACAATAGATTTAACCACTAATCTGATAATAAGAATTAGATATGCATTATGACAATTTTCAATTGTATAGAAACAAAAAAATCTGTTCCTACAGTACTATTTAGTGTTGTTTTATTGCGGTGGCATAGCATTTTTCTCAAATGCAATCTTGTTTTTTCTTTTCTTTTTTTTATATATATATTTTTTTAATTAATTTTTTTTTTTTGACACTAATGTGCAGTGCTTGTTCATATGTACAACAAGATTTCATATTGTGGAAAAAACTATGTTATTGGTATAATTGTAACCGGTAATAAAATGCAAATATAATGTGTACCCAAAAGGAAGTATTAGTATTATAGTAAACCAGGTGTGAAGTGTTTATGGTAATATGGGTATTTATTCTGAGAATTTTTTACTTACTGCATTGTCAAAGCAGTAATAAATCTTTGAAATAATGTTTTGAAAATTTAAGTAATTTTAGGGCTATAAGTTTGTCTTACTTGAAAACAGTTGTCACTGAATTTAATAATTTTTAGGACTGTATTGTTATACAAAGAGTTGAAACTCTTTTTAATTTGACAAATTTACTGAATATGAATTGAAGTCCTTCTTTGGCTGTAAATTTTCTTTCTGTAGTTGTAACGCACTAATGAATCACTATAATGGAGTAGTCTCAGCATGCTGACTGCAAGACCCACCAATTTTACAAACTGACATAATATAGATGTCACAGTCTATACAAAGGGTGACTGTAGTATATATAATAAAAAGCCCTGGCGCACAATTTGATGGTCTAATAATGGACCTGACCTACTTGGAATTTTGAATTTTCCATTATTATCTACAATAAGGGCTTCAAAAACTGAACAGCCAGCAGTGTAGAGTTGGGACCTTCTACCTGGGTTAGCAGGCTGAAAACTGTCTCTGTACATGAGACATTAGAAAGTCATTATTGCTGCTAGCTGTCAAAGATTGAAATAAAAAATGTTCATGTTTCATGTTGTTATTGTGTTGTTACAGGTGAAAGCAATACATGGGCTTGGTACGACCATAGATGTGATACTTGTGAATGGTAAACTAAATGAGGGAGATCAGATTGTGATAGCTGGAACAGAGGGGCCGATTGTCACGTGGATACGAGGTTTACTCATGCCACAACCTATGAAGGAGTTAAGAGTTAAGGTTAGTTACTATGACCACAACTTGTTTCATGCAACATGTAAAACATTATGATTACAAGTAAGCTGAAGTATTTGAATAACTCTTCAATCTGTTCTTGGAGTAACCAATACTGGTGTCGTAATAATTATGGTAACAAAGTCATGACCCTTATACAGGCTTTTAGCTCAACCTTTGACCTCTGGTTTGAGAGGCAGATAACCTAACCACTAGGCTACTGAGCTTGTATTGTCAGGAAATTCAGGGACACTTAAAGATTTTTAATTTAAATGGCTTGGGCTTCAGACTATGTATATAATTTTGTAAGTTTCGGCTTATGAAGATTCTCCTTTGAGATTTTATGTTAATTTTGTCCATGAAGTAGAACATTTTACTGTTACCATTAGAGCACAGTATCATTAATTATAAGTCAAAATCTTCAAGATATGTAATATACTGTAAAATCATTATTATTCGTGGGGCACGAATTTTCGTGGGTAGGTCAATCCACGAATTTAAGATCCCACAAACTTTTATCCCAACAAATACTTCTTACCCAGTCTTTGTTCTATATATTACAAACATGCTTCGGCTCTTTTCCGGCCGATATTTCGTGAAATGGATGTATATACAGACAGATAATCAGGTTAGTGACTTATTAAATCCGTTTACAATATTTAAGAAACTTGAAAGAAAACTCGATTATATGTCCTCAATTTACTGTCGCAAATGTCGCATATACGTACTTGATCGTTGTAGTCTACTAGGACTTGAATGTGTCAACAAGAATACTTGACATAATCGAATAAATATGGGAACCCAGGCAGTGCAATAATTAGCGCTAATAAAAATTGTCAGTTTGCTCTTAATTATTAAAAAAAAGTCTTTGATATTAATGTCGTAAGTACACAAAACTATAAAAAAAAATACGATCGCTAAAACAGATTTATTGTACATTCCTTTGTCGTTTTAAATGATCCAGTTTATATGAATTTTAATCTGTATTTGTGCGAATTCTATTCCGTCAACATCAAAGACGCCACCGACTTTTAAAGATCCACACATACTCGTGTTATTTACCGAGATTAATTTATATGCATGTAAATTTACACAGTCGCTGTGACGTTGCGTGTAGTTACTGTCAAATATGTTAAGACCAATTCAGGGTGTAAACTTTTAAACTCGCTGGTTAAAACCTGTCAGGTGTCGTATAAATTATCGGCGAATTACAGGGGCAGTGTGTCCAATGGAGGTGCATAATTATCATGTAACATACATGTGTTAATTGCAGTCAATTATCGGCAGTAACTGTGCTACTATAGTATATTAGTTATGCCCAGAGGCAAGGATTAAATTTATTGACAAGCGCTGTGTGACAAGTAAAGATATGTACATGTTGTAAGTAAAAAAATGTTCGGCGATAAAGTTTAAGATTATTTTGCATTAGGTTACTGAATTTTTTTTAACAAGAAAACGAAAATCCACGAATTTAAGAACCCACGAAAATGCCCTTTTTGATAAAACCACGAAATTTCATGCCCACGAATTTAAGTGAATTCGCAGTACATGACTTAAAATAATAATTTACAATTTGCAAATGTTACATAACATTTCAAGGTCATGACAATGAGAGAGACATTAACACAAGCAAAAAGTCAAAAACCTCATAAAATAACACAGGTTGAAAGCATAATGTAAGAATTATCATTATTATTTATATTATAATGTATTGTTACATGATACTGTCAAAACTTTTGTCATGGTCTTTACTTCAGCAGTCTTCTTGAACCTGTGAAGCATTATAATGCGGCCCATAAAATAATTTGTTTTAATAATTTCCTGTTTAAAAAAAAAGATCTCCCTTCCATTTGTTGATCTTTTGCTATCATGATTTGATATTGCAGGTATTTATGACTCTACCCAGATAACAAGAAATTATGTATGGGTAAGAGTTCGTATTAAGACGACCGTAGGGAGTCTTATCGAACTCTTACCCATATAACTGCAAATCGGCTCTTACAACTCGATATCAGATAAAAATATAGAAAGTGTCACCTCTTTAATTAAGCATAACATTGTTTTTCCCCAGCAGTCACATACAAACATGTTTCCTTAAGTCTACAGGTGGATCGGGTCAAATTACCTAACTGTAGCAATGTAATCAAAGTAATTATTTTATTCACATCTTCATAATATCTTGGATTATTAATGCAGTTCATTCCTATTATATGAAACTTACTTTTTCAAGAAAATAAAAACAGTCATAAACATTTTTATGTTACTATGTAATCATTTGTCTCTACCAAATCCACGTGTATTATCTATGTAATAAATTTGAATATATACTCAAATTGCATCAGTGTTATCAGCCTTTTTAGAAACACCTGACCTGGCTAATTAAAATATGCCAATCACAATTATCACTATCAGCACTGGTCTCTTCATGAAAAAGTGGCTACACTAATTACTGTCGAGTAAGAGCCGATTTGCAGTTATAACGGTCGTCTTAATACGAACTCTTAAGGCCTCAACAGACGGTAGGATTTTGAAGTACAACACCAATTAAAACTAAGATGTACAAGCAAATTTTGATGTGTAAAGGCTACTTTATCTTGAATTAAACCCTAATACTAGATGTAATGGATGGGACATGTTCTATTTTGAAAATCTTGTCGTTTAGTCCTTCCACAATGACAAGTAACAGATTTCCAAATTATCTCCTTATAATGGGTTTAATAAATAAAATTCCAGAACACTTAGGGCTAATAGTAAACATAGTAGTAAAATGAGGTAAAAACGATGTTGAAACACTCTTCAGGAGACCCAAAGTTGTGGTGTATTCGAATCCCAAATTTTTACGAAAATAATTATGTCACGGTATTGAACTGTTCTCTAATTACATGAATTTGGGGAGGGGAGGTAGTTTGTAGGCGGCCACGTAGCTTAGTCAGTAGAGCCGCAGTACGGTATTCCGAGGGTCCCAGGTTTAAGTCTCGGTCAGGCTTCACATTAAAAAAAATATATATATTTTTTTTTTAATGGAGGTGTTTCAATCATTACTCATGGCGAAAAAAAGTATTAAGTGAGTAAAGTATGTAAAGGATCAATGTAAAGGGATCCTTTTCAGGGGAAACCTCAGAAGATTCTTACAGTATAGAATTACCGTCTGAATGCAAGTGTTGTATAGCTTTGAAAATTGTACATCTTATCTCTAATTAGTGCTGTACAACTAAATCCTACCGTCTGTTGAGGCCTTTACCCATACTTAGCAGATACATTTGAGACTTTTGTTCAATTAAAGTCTGGTAAAATTTAATTTTGTATATGGATATTATAGAGTGTCTGAGTTTGATCTTTATTTGTTCTTTATTCTTATAATTATATTACAAGTATATATATTAAATATTATTTCACAAATATTTTATGCCGAAGAATGCTACATAGGTCTTGAGATTTTTAAAAAAAATATTAATTAGGTTTTAAACCAACTTATTTATGAGTAAAAAGAAAAAACACACACACACAGATATATTGATATGTAATAGAAGTGAAAAAAAAAATTGTTCAGTATACGGTGTACAGTACAGTAGTTAATATTCATTCATGAATATATGACTTGGAGCAGAGGTTGATTATCGTGGCCAATCTTGAGATAGCGTATATAAAAAACTGTCCTTATTTGAGTGGTATAAATCAGATGGGTAGATTAGGGTGTAGATGGGGGATTAATATCACATTTATAATATCTTTGACTGTCACCATTTGTCTAATGACCTTTCATTTTGCTGAAGGATTCTAAAATGTAATAAAATTGTCAGGGATGAAGGTACATCACTGTTAAAAAATCTCGTGTCATTTCTGATTTATTGATGTAATTTTTTAATGTGTCCAAAATGTCATTTTGTGATAAGACCAAATAAAAAATATATATAATATAATAAAGCTGGCACTGTTGTAAAGTTATTGTTAAAAGTACAGATGGTTTAAGGATAAGTTTTAAAAATTTACATATTCAGCAAAATTGATATAGTAACTATGAGTCAAATTTAGACCCTTACCAGCTGAATTTCTTTTATGTACTTTGTACACTGTTCAACTTTGTAACAGTAAGCTTTAATTAATTAGAGAGAAATAATGATAAAGACTTTGAATTTTGTTCATCTTGAATGCATGAAGTGCTGATACAGGTCTGGTCCATCCAAAACTGTTGGCTAAAAGACTTCTCATACAGTTTTGTTTCCAGCATTTTACTGTTTGATAAAATTTAGCTTTTATTTGGTATATGAGGTACAAACTTATGCTAATTCTGTAACTCACAGCATAAACCTCATTAGAATTATAAATCTGCTTAACTGTTTGTAAAAGAATCTTCTAGGCAGTAAATTGAAAAAAATTGTTATTAAAAAGAGTTCTGACTTTACTTTTATATTTGCTGTATTCCAGGCTCAATATGAACATCATAAAGAAGTGAAGGCTGCCCAAGGTGTCAAGGTCATCGGTAAAGACCTTGAGAAGGCCCTCGCAGGTCTGCCATTGTATGTAGCCCATGATGAAGATGAGGTGGAATACTTCAAGGTGAGATAACATCACTTTTATTTCAAGTTGACAAGTTTAAAACAATACAATGTTAGTTTTACATACTTTAATAAATATCATGTTTCAGGCTAGAGTTATAAGTAAGGGTTATAATTATGTTGCAGTGACAGTGTTTGTAACATGTGGGTTTTTTTCTCTCCATATTTTATCATTCGGAAACAGATGGTCAGGGTTTATTTATTTATTTATAATAAATACATGTATATGATGGCAACAGTATGTGTAAAATATTTCTTGATCTTTTACACCTTTTATATTTAACTAATGAACTGGTCAATATGTAACATCTGAACCAAATATATAAATACCAACCAGATGGTTCATATAAATGACCACAATAGATTTAAAGTATTAATAATATCCATATGCATGTTGTGGAGAGACACAGGGTATCAGCAGATTTTCAGCTAAGGGGATGAAGCCACACTATATTTAGTTTTATGGAACACTCAACTTTACTTGGAGGAAAATTCTCACCATTTGTGCTTTAAAGTCAAACCTTTAAAGTGACATGTAGTGGGTCCATACCCAATAAGAAAAGCTACTTGTTATGTCTGAAAGTTTGGATGGACCCTAATTAAACCTTGAACTCAGATGTCCATACTGTTAGTCACTGACAGTTCATTACTAGCCAGTCTCAGATCAGTCTGGAGCCAGCCTCAGGTCTTTCTGGAGCCAGTCACAGGTCTTTCTGGAGCCAGTCACAGATCCCTCCCAAGCCTCTTAAATACCAAATGCATTACCATATAAGCATAAATTTATTCACTGATAAAACATAACCAGTATGATATAACAAATGATAGGAACAAAAAGCTATGTATTGTTGTATTGTACAAAGAACATTGGGAGCACAGCTGTAAGGTAATACGGTATAACAGGAACAATAGTATTTTGTTCTCCAGCATCCCGTTCTTACACCTTCGTACTGATCCTTTTATACCGTCCTCTTCACATTTAGAATACACTGATATAAAGATAGGACCAATTTGTCTGGGCTAGTGATACTATCATATGAAATAGATACTTACTACACAAGCAGTACAAGTCATAGATTGTAACATATTTACAAAACTTAAAAAAATGTTTTGTTATGTTTCTGAAAAGGAAACTTTTGAATGATAAGTTTTATTATGAATATATTATATGAGATATAAGTAAAATGAGACTGAAACTTGTGCAAATTATTATTACCTCTAGTACATGATTTCATGGATATAGGATTAGAATTTCTCTTTATGTCACATTAATTTTGGTGTATGATGATTCCAAGCAATGGATTGACTGGTGCATTTTTATGAGTAAAGATATCGAAAAATGTTTTGAAACATTAAAAAATGGTTAAAGTTGTATTAACTAATTAATCATGCAGTGTAACTGTTTGATAGTCACAATTCTTAACAGCTATACTAATAATTCTGATAGATACGCTTAAAATGATATAACTTTAACACTGTCAATTGTAAATGATATAACCTCAACACTGTCAATTATTAATAATGTAACCTCAACACTGTCAATTGTTAATAATGTAACCTCAACACTGTCCATTGTTTATGAAATAACTCAACACTGTCCATTGTTAATGATATAACCTCAACACTGTCAATAGTTAATGATATAACCTCAACACTGTCAATTGTTAATGATATAACCTCAACACTGTCAATTGTTAATGATATAACCTCAACACTGACAATTGTGAATGATATAACCTCAACACTGTCAATTGTTAATGATATAACCTCAACACTGTCAATTGTGAATGATATAACCTCAACACTGTCAATTGTTAATGATATAACCTCAACACTGTCAATTGTTAAAGATTTAACCTCAACACTGTCAATTGTTAATGATATAACCTCAACACTGTCAATTGTTCTAGATATAACCTCAGCACTGTCAATTGTTAATGATATAACCTCAACACTGTCAATAGTTAATGATATAACCTCAACACTGTCAATTGTTAATGATATAACCTCAACACTGTCAATTTGTATCTAGATATAACCTCAACACTGTCAATTGTTAATGATATAACCTCAACACTGTCAATTTGTAATGATATAACCTCAACACTGTCAATTTTATCTAGATATAACCTCAACACTGTCAATTTTATCTAGATATAACCTGAACACTGTCAATTGTTAATGATAGAACCTCAACGCTGTCAATTTGTAATGATATAACCTCAACACTGTCAATTGTGAATGATATAACCTCAACACTGTCAATAGTTAATGATATAACCTCAACACTGTCAATTTTATCTAGATATAACCTCAACACTGTCAATTTTATCTAGATATAACCTGAACACTGTCAATTGTTAATAATGTAACCTCAACACTGTAAATTGTTATACACTAACATATAGCAGGCTGGAAATAATGTGAACAAAATGTGTACAGACTTGTTCTATAATAAAATTTTCAACATTAAGAAACTGCAATCAGTTATTTTATTTTATAATATGTGGGCAGATCTGTTTTTATTTTCAACACTAAGTAAACAAGGAAAGAAGACATAATCAGCAAATTTTGTTTAACCTTTGTAGTGTTTTTTTTTTTAATTTACACAAACTGATATTACCTCACATTAAAAAACAACATTATACAATAATGGGCTGATTGTGGGAAGAAATAAGTACTTGTCTCATCAGATATCAAACATTTCTTATTCATTCATGAAAAAAAGGCATTAGGATAAAATGTCAAGATCTGAGGATGGGATTGGTTGACAAGCCAGTGAGGCCACTAAAGGGGAAAGTTTCTGATGAAAATTGTTTGATTGTGTTTAAATTATTTCATATAATGCATTAGGTCAAGAAAGAGGCCAGTCTGTGAATTAACAGCTCTTTTCATTGGTCAGTTTAATGTCCACCAATTAGATACAAGAATACTAGACTGACACCCAATGTCAAGTTTTGATGCTATTGGTTGGAGACTGGTCCTTTAAAAATTAACACCATCAACTAACTCCTGATCTAACAAAGGGAAGGAATTGTCAGCTTTAGGAAGATGAATATTAGATTTAAACTTTTTTGTATACAAGTTATTGGGCTTTTTTAAAGATAAGTCTCTCACGGCCCTCAATTAGATCTACATTATTTTTTTAAACTAAAAAAACTTTTCCCACAGTATCTGAAATTCTGAATGAGTGTGACAGAAAATTAAACTTTACAAAGATTGGAAAAAATAAAATGATAATTGTAAAACCTGTTTCAGCAAGAGAAATATAGAGGAGGTTTCCAGTCAATTTTTTGCTTGTTTCTGTTTTATTTAAATTTCAGCTTATATCAGCATTTTTAAACAGTCACTTGAAACGTTCACACCTGTGCCATTATTTCTTTTAGAAACTGTGAAGTGTTCCATTACAAAATACACTGGTAATTTTCATCTCATTAAAACTTTCAGGTCTGATTTTCAATGGTTAACTATGGTTAGGATGGGAAATGTCTAAATTTTCAAAAACTGTCAATCTCCATTTTTGATTAGAGCTGTCACCAGAGTTAAATTGGCTGTGTGGTGAAAATTGAGAAAATAGGCAAATTAGTTTGGTGTCAAGTGGTTTAAACTGGTCATGCTATCTTCACAAGGGGGGGGGGGGGGGGGGTTATGATGGTATAGAACTGTATTGGGATAGATTGATGTATTGTTCTATTAAATGATGGAAAATAAAAAATATTGGTTAACACATGCTGTTTGGAATTGAAATGTCAATTTTGTATACAAAATAATATCTATATTTTTTTTTTAAACACTAAAATATTTTGTTACCTTTGTGCAATATTGGTTTAAGTACATATAATTTTGATAGGAGTTAACCCGTTACATTACTAAGAAGATGATATATACAGTTTGCAATATTTCGAGCTGTCTAAGCTGAGTGGTGGGGAAGTTTTCCAGCTTATACTAAGTTTACAGAATGACTGAGGCTGTACCTTTGCAAAACCATTGCTTATAAACCAAACATATTCAGTTTATATTGCAATATTGTCATCATATTTGCAAACAAAACCAACTAACAAACATTTCCCATCATTGTAATGTTGTTCATGTTGCAAAGTTTCTGACATTTCCACTTTACACCGTATATGAAACATTTGAAATTATAAAACAGTGGAAAAACTGTTTAATTGGTTGACTAAAGATTCATCAGTGTTTGTGGTATATGTCACTTGCCTTAAATAATTTCTTTTTGTATGAAATATGTTAATTATGTCGTGACAAGCTTCGTGTAATGGCAGGAAATGGTTTAAAGTAAAAAATTAATTTATTTCATAAAGGGAAATACAAATATGCATTTCAATGACATAGCAATTTGTCAGAACAAATTTGTGTGTCAAGTGTTTTTGAATTAACCCAAGGTATTTATTTATAACAATACAAATTTATTTATCACAATAAAAAGTTCATTAACCTTGACTCACAGATCTTAACCGAGTATATTTATAATAATAGGTTATCTTATTAGTTTATCGAAATTTATTTATATAATATAGATATATAGATATATACTACTTAATTGCTTTAAAATTGACATATTTATGACTCATTTATGCTTGAAGAAAATTAACTTCATTTTTGTACCATTCTGTAATTTTGGTTTGGTTTATTTGTTAATATTATCAATGTTTGATTTTACTCCTTTTATTAGGAATCTACTTTAAATTTTTTATTTTTTTACATCATTAAAAATCTATTACTTTAATACTATAAATATTTTTTGTCATCCACATATTAAAAATTGGTTATTATTTACTTTGTAAAAAGTCTTAGGCTTTCAACAACAATAAGTAAAAAAATCTTTTAATTCAAATCAATTGGTTGGGGTGGGTGGTGGGGGTGAGGTTATTGCATACACTTTTAAAATAAACTTAATGCTAAATTCACAAATAATTTAAAATTTATAATACCAATAAAACATTAACCTCTGAAAATAAAAGCTATTTACAGTCAGTCATATTTTATCAGAAGACTACTTTTCAAAACTTCCAACTGGAGAGAGTAAAATTGTTTGCATTGTACTATTACACAAAAATTACCTGTTTGCGTAGGAAATGAATAGGATTGGACAGGAAAAGTAAAACAGTTTTATATGGGAACTATTTGAATTTTTTTTTGCGGTCCCCCATTTTATCGCAGTACACCGGAACTATTTTATATAGCTTGTTTGTAATTATCATGAGTTTATTACCAAATTAAAGGGACGGACAAATTGTCAAGGTATTTAATGATGTAACTGGTGTTACTAAAATAGCCGCTGTGTGGACATGTTTGTAACTGGCAACCTTTAACTTTTAAATTTGACCTTCAACTAATTTGGATGTTAACCATGCATTTTTTGTAGGAGAAATCTTACATTAAACACCTGGGATATTTTCTTATCTCATAAATTGAAAAATGACTAAAATGTCCACATGTACCATGAAAGAATTGTTTAATTTATAGGGTCAGTAATGGGGACTTCTTAAGAGAGATTAACATATCAATATTTAGAATATACTTCAAATATAATTTAATTATGTATTATATGTATGCATATTTCTTGCATTACGCCTGAACGATGCATGATTGATATGTATTAAATGAAAATTACCTGAATAATGTTCTATATTCTGCCTATAAAAACACTATATGCATTAGAATTTTTAATGTTAACATTTCAATGTGCTTATTTGGCAATATATTTAAAGTTAGGGTTAGGAAGGCTGTTTAATATTGTATTACAAATGAAGAGTTGTGTGGTATATATTTGCATGTATTTAAGACACAGAAAAAATTATGAAAATCATTGAATTTAAGATTTTGAATTTACTGGCCCGAATTCCAGTTTTGAATTTATTCTACTATATATTTAACTAAATTTTCTTAAAATTTTCATTGGCCCAAACTAATTTTCATGGGCCACCGGGCCAGTGCTAAATTCGATGACTGTGAAATATATATAGCTTAGCTAATTCACATGTTTTATATAACATTGATTTCTCAAAAGTCTTGAATTTTATTTCTCAGTTTTAATTTTGATAAGTTTTTGCTTCAGACAATTATCAAACTGATATCTTACTAGTTTTGCAGCACTCTAACTAAGTATTAATTGTGTTCAACTCAGGTGCATTGCTTGGCACAAAAGGACACTTTACCTTTAAACATAATAAGTGGTGGTGCATGCATTGTGAAGACAGTGAATGAAAAAGATTTTCTTGCATGGATATTTCATTTTTGACGCTGTAAACATTAGTTATCAAATTTCTTATAAACACCAATATGCCAATGTTAAATATAATAACTGATTTGCCTCATTAATTTGCCATAACAATATTAACTGATAATTTTTAACTTGTTGCACAATTTAGTTTGATCGGTGATTCAGAATTGCGACCTTGAAAGTCGCTATCATCAAGCCCCGATGTCAACTTACTCATATCCGATACACAGCTTTGAGCAGATTCGCATTTTTTTTATTATGTTTATTCAGCGCAGTTTTATTAGGCGCATTTCTGACGGTAAAAATACACTATCTTGTCTATGTAGTTGATGCATTAAAATGTTTTTGCCACTCAAGTGTTTATGTATAAATAATAAAATTTGTTTTAATATCTCTCTCTTTTGAAAATGCAGTAGTTTGTTCATGTTGCAGTCTGTTAATTTTAAAATGGTGTGCAAGTTTAATTTTTCTGTTGATGGAAGTGTTTTAATAGTGACAAGATTGATGAGGGAAAGATATTACACCCCTCCAGTGTTCAACACTGAGTCATACATGTAATATTAAAGTCCCTCTATGTAGTTTATACTTGTCAGTTTTGTATCTTAACCCTAAACCGGCTGAAGGGGAGCGGTGGCCTTGTGGTTAAGGTGTCTGCCTCTCAACCCAGAGATCATGGGTTTGAGCCCTACTCTGGTCACTACCATGTTTCTTTATATGACACTAGTACTAGCGGAGTCAAAAGTGATTGATATAAGTTGGAAGAACTTGTTTCGCAATTGAGCATAAATAAATATATTTAACACTAAACCTGCTGAATTCTTATAATAGATTTGCCCGTCTTTGAATTTAGGACAGTCCATTAAAAAAATAAGGGATTTCAATATAAAAATTGTGCTACCAACAGTATATATCTACAAGCCTGCTCAGACTGCGTGCATGTGCAGGTTAGCCTTGCTCTATTGGTGGTATTTAATACTTCCATTGTAAATGTTGCCTTGTTATTAATATCATACTATAGAGGTGTCTGAAAAACACAATTCTTTATCCACTGGTTCAGAATGGGATACATGGTTACATACATGTACTATATTCATAATTATTGTCAACTTTTTAGAGTTCAATTATTATAGCCTATTATTTCTCAACACTAACTGATTGGGTGAAAAAAAAGAGAATTGTATGATTGAATGATTGTGAAATACAGTATATTATAAAATTACTAATCTTGTCTGTATATCTATTAAGCATGAACATGGACTTAAATCATGGTTCAAATTTAATGTTGTTTACTGTAAACGGCAGATGGTGCTTCGTGAGTCATGCATGCACTTTTTCTGAAAAAAAAAACAACTTAATGTGTTTGTTTACTGCAGTACATTCTGAGGTGATCGCCATTGATGCTGTGCTACAGGTCTTAAACAAAACAAACCATCACAATCGTATGTGGAAACCCTGGTTGGGGTTGCATTTGGACCCCCTGGGGTCAAGGGTCACTATTAATAAAATATAAAAATGGTTTTGTTAGGAATGACATATTATACTCAAATTCAGTATAAAGCAACTTTATATGAAGATCCTGGTTGGGATTGCAAGTAATTAAATTAATTCTTTGTATACATTTGATACTTCATAAGTTATAGGTTGAGTTCAAATTTTCTTAGGACCACTTTTTTTTTTCAAAAAATCAAAGTTGCTGGTTGGAGTATTAATCACCTGTAGTGATACTATTTATGTTATAATGATGATTATTTAGATGGCCCATATTATCACCTATGTGCAGTTACTGCACTTATGTGAAAATTGTGTTGATTTTGTATTACATAGGACTAGATGTGTTAATTTTGTATTACATAGGACTATATCTTGATATTAATTTTGAATTTTGGCCTATTATGTTGCATTTGTATTTGACCCCATATATTGATTATATTTTTATGCCACCGCTGCATCTACGATGCGGTGGCATATAGCGATTCACCTGTGTGTGTGTGTTTGTGTGTTCTATAGATTATATAGTGAACTTAAAAAATCTTTTTGTGAAAAACCACTAGTCCAATTTCAACCAAACTTGGCAGGATTGATCCTTGGATGAAGGGCTTCCAAAGTTGTTCAAAGAATTTCATTCCATGCAGAAATCTGGTTGCCATGGCACCCAAAAGGAATTATAAGAATAGATTTAAAAAATCTTCTTGTAAAGACCCACAAGGCCTAGAACATAGATATTTTGCATAAGGCATTGTCTGGTAGACCTGTACCGAGATTGTTCAAATTGTAGCCCTGGGGTCAAAATTGGCCCTGCCCCAGGGGTCTTTGATTTTTACTATATTCACATATAGATATATAAAAACCTTCTTATCTGAAAGTACAACGCTTTTAGCTTTGATATTTAGTATATGATATAATCTATAGGTACTCTACAGAAGTTGTACAAATTTTGCCTCTAGCGTCAAAACTAGCCCGCCCATGGGGTCATAGGTTTTCCATTTATGTATATAGTAAAATCTTTAAAAAAAGTCATCTTCTTGAAATTGACAAAGGCTAGAGTTTAGATATTTTGCATGATACATTGTGTAGTGAACCTCTACCAAGATTGTTCAAGTTATAGCCCTGGGGTTAAAATTGCCCCCCCCCCCCCCCCCGGGGTCATTGATTTTCACTATGCACATATAGAAAAAAAAAATCTTATTGACTGAAGGTACAAGGCTTAGAGCTTTGATATTTGGTATATGATATCATATATAGGTACTCTACAAAAGTTGTTCAAATTTTGCCTCTATTGTCAAAATTTAGGCCCGCCTCAGGGGCCATAGGTTTTCCTTATATGTATATAGTAAAAACTTTAAAATAATCATATTTTCTAAATTGATAGTGTTGTACATGTATTTGTGCGGTGGCATAGCATTTTTCACAAATGCAATCTTGTTGATCATGTATAATTTTACTAATCTTTCATAACAATATAAGTATACCAGAGAGGTGTTCAACATTCTATAATAATTATGAGAATTTAATGATATATTTTCAGGAAGAACTATCGGAGGCATTGAAGGATGTATTGGGTTCTATTAAATTATCAGAGAGGGGTGTGTTTGTTCAAGCCTCTACACTGGGCTCACTTGAAGCACTCCTTGAATTCCTGAGAACATCAAAAATACCTGTAAGTGAATCTATTTATTGCGTAAACTCAGTTTGATAATTCTATTTATTTCACACCTTGTTAAAATTTTTAACCAATGACTTTTGAGCATTTGCATCATGTGGTATCCCAATAAATATCAATTGGATCAATTCTTATCAAATTAGCCTCATTTTCATGTTGATAACCCATAATTTCTAAATCAAATCACTATATTACTCCATCTTGCCCTGTTTCGATATTTTTCCGAGCCCAAAAGATTCAAAATGTTAAAAATTTTGCTAGCACCTCATCCAATATAGGTTTGACAGCTGTGTATGACTATAAAGTAATATAAGGACTTACAACCATGTTGATATCTTGAAATAGGACACCATGTTATAAACTGACATGATATGCTAAAAAAAGAAGTGATACACAAAATCACATGATCCTGTAATGAAATACAATATTGTATGATCCTTTAATGATTGATATACAATGACATGATGATATAATGATATACAATGACATGATCCTATAATGATATACAATGACATGATACTGTAATGATATACAATGACATGATCCTGTAATGATATACAATGACATGATCCTGTAATGATATACAATGACATGATCATATAATGATAAACAACGGCATGATCCTGTAATGATATACAATGACTCAATCCTGTAATGATATACGATGACGTGATCATATAATGATAAACAATGACATGATCATATAATGATATACAATGACATGATCCTATAATGATATACGATGACGTGATCATATAATGATATACAATGGCATGATCCTGTAATGATATACAATGGCATGATCATATAACGATATACAATGACATGATCCTATAATGATATACAATGGCATGATCCTGTAATGATATACAATGACATGATCATATAATGATATACAATGGCATGATCCTGTAATGATATACAATGGCATGATCATATAATGATATACAATGACTTGATCCTGTAATGATATATGATGACGTGATCATATAATGATATACAATGACATGATCATATAATGATATACAATGACATGATCCTGTAATGATATACGATGACATGATCATATAATGATATACAATGGCATGATCCTGTAATGATATACAATGGCATGATCATATAACGATATACAATGACTCGATCCTGTAATGATATACGATGACGTGATCATATAATGATATACAATGACATGATCATATGATGATATACAATGACATGATCCTGTAATGATATACAATGGCATTATCATATAATGATATACAATGTCTCGATCCTGTAATGATATACGATGACATGATCCTGTAATGATATACAATGACATGATCTTATAATAATATACAATGACATGATCATATAATGATATACAATGACATGATCCTGTAATGATATACAATGACATGATCATATAATGATATACAATGGCATGATCATATAATGATATACAATGACATGATCATATAATGATATACAATGACATGATCATATAATGATACACAATGACATGATCCTATAATGATCTACAATGACATGATCACATATAATTATATACAATGACATGATCCTATAATGATATACACTGACATGGTCCTATAATGATATACAATGACACGATCATATAATGATATACATTGACATGATCATATAATGATATGCACTGACATGATCATATAACGATATACGCTGACATGATTTTATAATGATATACACTAACATGATCATATAATGATATACAATGACATGATCTTATAATGATATACATTGACATTATCACATAATGATATACGATGACATGATCATATAATGATATACAATGACTCGATCCTGTAATGATATACGATGACATGATCCTGTAATGATATACGATGACATGATCATATAATGATATACGATGACAAGATCTTATAATGATATACAATGACTCGATCCTGTAATGATATACGATAATGATATACAATGACATGATTATATAATGATATGCACTGACATGATCATATAACGATATACGCTGACATGATTTTATAATGATATACACTAACATGATCATATAATGATATACAATGACATGATCTTATAATGATATACATTGACATGATCTTATAATGATATACATTGACATGATCTTATAATGATATACAATGGCATGATAATATAACGATATACGCTGACATGATTTTATAATGATATACACTGACATTATCATATAATGATATACACTGACATGATCTTATAACGATATACATTGACATGATCCTATAATGATATACATTGACATGATTTTATAATGATATACAATGACATGATCCTATAATGATATACATTGACATGATTTTATAATGATATACATATGATGATGATGACAATGGTGGTGATATGATGAATTTGATGTTGATGATAATGGTGATGATAATTATAAACAATATGATTCTGTTTTCAGTATGCTGGCATCAATATAGGACCTGTACATAAGAAGGATATAATGAAGGCATCCATCATGCTGGAACATGATACACAGTAAGTTTACTTATCATACATTTGTTTGTAGCATTTGTATCACATTCTGTTGTAATCAAGGTCTTAGGATGTAACCTCACTTAAGTGAAATTTTATATATGTATATAATTATTCTTCCAAAACAATTTCCAAACATCTAAGAATATGTATAATATGCTCTGCAAATGTTTATTCGTATTATAAATAATCATTAAGATATATGCATTCATTTCATAGTAAAAACTTTATCAATATAAGTTTCTAATTTCCTCCCTTTATTTACAAGAAATGTAAATTTCGTAATATCTTTACAAAAATATGCTCTTTGGAACTTACAATATTGATAAAGCTTCATTCGAGCATAATATTTATGATATAAAACCATAAAAATATTTGAGATCTTTAATATAGACAGTATAATGAATATTCCTGCATCAGTAGTACTAACCTGTTTAATTTCTTTACATGTATCAATTGGATGAGCAGTTGGGTTAGATATCCACATTGTCAGTGAAACTTACATTGCTAGTGCTCAAACTTCCTCATTTAGAGTTTTAGGACTACTATTACTAAGCGCACTAAGTAAACCCATTACTTTATGGTACTGATGTGTACATAATTATGTAGTTTGTGAATAGTTTCTTTTTGACAGAAAAGCAGACAAACAATAATGGTACAGCATTAAAAAGGATTAGGAATGTAATACAATGTCATGATGTTCATGGTCTGCATGCCCCGAAATATGAAATTTTAACCACAAAATGTAATTTTTACTTCAGCCATGAAATAAACATGCTTCTATCCAAAGCATACTTACTTCACATGTGCATGCACCTTCATGTGCTCTGCCTGCAAGACTCACTTAAATGTCACAGGGTCAAAGGTCAAGGTTACTGTGACTTAAAATAACAAATATTAACCTTTGCCATAAAATCAAAGTATTTTATCTAAATCTTCCTAACAAGATCTGTATCCGCTTTAGAACACTATCCATCAGACTCAATAAAAGGTCATGGTTCATATTTGACCCAAAATAGCATTGATAACTGGAATACATCAACTTAATTAGATCAGAAATAAAACATTTAAAAACTATTTTAGGTGACCTTTACTTTGATTTGACCTTGACCCTATGTCTACAACATATTGTTTATCATTGTAAACTTATTGAGATCAACAACATATTATTTATCATTGTAAACTTATTGAGATCAACAGCATTTTGTTTATCATTGTAAACTGATTGAGATCAACAATATATTGTTTATCATTGTAAACTAATTGATATCAACAACATAGTGTTAATCATTGTAAACTGAATGAGATCAACAATATATTGTTAATCATTGTAAACTAATTTAGATCAGCAACATATTGTTTATCATTGTAAAGTGAATGAGATCATTCACATATTGTTTATCATTGTAAACTAATTGAGATCAATAACATATTGTTTATCATTGTAAACTGAATGAGATCAACATTGATCATTTATTATTGTATATATTTCAGATGGGCTGTGATTTTAGCATTTGATGTGAAGGTAGAACGTGAAGCTCAAGAAATGGCAGACAGTTTGGGAGTTAAAATATTCACTGCGGACATTATTTATCATCTACAAGATGCGTTTATAAAATTCCGTGAGGACCTTAAAAAGCAAAAACAAGAGGAATTTAAAAACATTGCAGTGTTTCCATGTAAATTACGTGTGTTACCTCAGTATATATTTAACTCTAGAGACCCTATTGTTGTTGGGGTGTCTGTGGAAGCTGGAGTAGTAAAAGTTGGAACACCAATCTGTGTACCTAGTAAAGAGGTTTGTTATATGTCTTATTATTTTGTTAAGCCTTGTTACATAAATTTTATGCAGAATTTTCAGAGAATTGGTTTTAGTCAATGATATAACATGGGCTATAGTAATGTCATTCATGTAAAGATATCATTCTCTGATGGATGAATGAAAGAAAGACAGACAAAAACATTATTTTTGGTACCTTAAAAGAAAAAGGGTTATAAAAAAAAATAATTTCACATCAATTTAACGTTAAAAAAGTAAATGATTACTCAGTCGTTCTTCAGGGAACATTAAGGATATTTGACATCAGTTGCTTTCGTCTCTTATTGGTTTTAAAATTGGTATTTAACTTAATCTTTTAGAGAAAATAGGTACAAGACTATAACATAAATCTATATAAAAGTGCACTTTAAGCTGAAAGTGAAAATTCTAAAGTAAAAAGTACTCTTATTTTAATTTAGTGATATACAATATTTTAACAATTTACGGAAATAAAACAGACTATTTTACATTTTCACATCCCGCCAGAAAAAAAACCCCAGATTTTGATATATGACTGTTTCCTGTTTATGATAATTTTGCAGCTTTATGTGACAGACATTTCCATATGGACATAATACATAATATATATTGTTTTGTTTGTGAGGGTACAACTGGAATTTCAGAATGTGTCACCGTTGAAAAGGGAAAATCCCAATATTTAAACAAGTCTGGTTAAATATAATGAAAGAAGTACAAAAAGAAGAACAAAAATGATAAACAATCTTTAGTTTTCCGAAATACAGGGATTTTTTTGGCTAATTTTATAGCCGATATTCAGTCATGTTTCCAATTGAGAATAGTACATTATTTTCCCAATGCACAGGAAAAAATTCCCAATTGAAAGTTACAAAATAAAAATATTGAAAAAGAAAATCTAAAATCTTTGAAACTAAGGACTTCTTTGCTGTTATGGTACTTAAATGTTTGAAGATGCAATCCTGGACAGTGATTCTTTGCGTTCATTTAATCAATGCAAAATTTTCAGTCATGCATTTTTCTCCAATTTTTAACAAAACTGCTGAAATTCCAAATTTCATGGGTATGGGTAATGTTCCCAAAATCCTGGGGGGGAAAAACCCTGATTCCTATCCCAACAGTATTAATCCAGGCCAGCTTCACTGTCTCTGATGTCTGGTCAGTTTTGTGCTATGAGCCGCATCAAAACAAAACCAACGTAATGCGTTTGCGACCAGCATGGATCCAGACCAGCCTGTGAATCCGCGCAGTCTGTTCAGGATCCATGCTGTTCTCTATCAGTTTCTCTACTTGTAATAGGGTTTGTAAGCGAACAGCATGGATCCTGATCAAACTGCGCGGATGCACAGGCTGGTCTTGATTCATGTTGGTCGCAAACGCATTACGTTGGTTTTGTCGTGACGCGGCTCATTTAACCATTTTTGACTGAATTATAGCCCTTTTATTTAGGGTGTAAGGGAGAGGGTTACCTGTGTAATATTGGCAGAAAAGCTGGTTTACGACAATTTCCTGGTCACTTGTTCTATTGAAGTTTTCTTTACATTGAATAAAAATTATCTTTGTGAATAATTTAAAAATACAAGTCAACAAGATTATTTCACTGTAAAGGAACATCAAAAAGTAAACATCGTACAACCCCAAAACAAACATTAATTTGCAAACCAGTAATTCTTTTTTTTCTTTTTTTTTTGCCCAGCTGATGACTCACCGAACAAAAATATTTGTTCTGCATATTTCCATAAAGTGTCTTTATTTCATCTTCATTTTCAAATGAAATGACTTTTTGATTTCTTACAATCATAAAAAGAAGACCTTGTCACTTTCTTTGCATCTTGGCAGAGTTTCTTCTGAAATGACTTTAAAGAAAGTAGGAAAGGGACTTCAATACTGAAATAATTGCTTAAAAGTTATGGTTTCTTTACTTGCTGCAATGAAATGACTTTAAAGTTAATGTACTGGTTTTTGTATTCTCCTATCATCTGAAGACTTCATATACTGCATACCTACATTTCACAAAGCTGCCACCTGTCATAAAAGACATTCTTTCACACACAAAAATCTCAAGTGGCAAAAAGTCCACCTTTTAAACAGCATTTTCATAAACATTCTTACCTCACTTCTTATATCTCACTTTCTGTCATTATGAAATTCAAAAACAAAAATTAGAAAATCTGACTTTTTTTTTTCTTTGAGAAATTTTGAAAATGGATTTTGGATGGTCCAACATTCCATAGTCGTGCCTGGTTCAAGTTGAAAGCTTCTTAAAAATCTATTGAACTCTTTTATTTCAATAAAAACACTTTACATACCATTCATTAAACAGTCTTCCTGTAATAAAGATTAAATAAAATTGATGCTTGTTTGAGACATAGAGGTTCTTTGACATGTTTGATGAGTCTATGTGTGAACTTGTATCAGTATTTCAACAGATGATGGGGGGTATGGGGGTCTGTTCTCTCAGTGCCGGAACAGGCGGATTGACCCTCATATTTAACATAGAATATATTCATGTACATTTTAACAGATAAAAAATGGAAGCAGGGATCTAGCATTTTGTATTTTGACAGAAGTTTTATTGCTCAAAATTTAGTGAGCAGCAAAAAAAAAAAAAAAATGCTAAATTTGCACTTGTATTTTAGAGACTACCAATAGACATAACTTACACAGCAAAAAAACAGGCTGTCAGGTTTGATATCAGATTTAAACTATGTCATTTCCTTTCTAGCGGCAGATGGGAAATAATCTACAATAGGAAATACACTCAAATACATTTGTAATTATTTGAAGGCCGTTTAAAGGCCAATAAAACTATTACTTCAATTTCAAGGGACATGCGACATGACTTACAATTGCTATGCTTTTATTTCAAGTAGAAAAATGGTTTCCTGTAATTAAACTATCTTGAGGTGATAACATTATTCGAAACTGCTCGACCGGAAAATGAGTTTTAAGCCCGAGACATGGCATTAAAGCATTTAAATTTCATAATTGGAAAAAAAAATAATTTAGCACGGCTCATTACATAGGCTGTCATGATGATGAAAAATACATTTTATAATCATTAAAAGTCATTGAATACAAGAGTGCAAAAATCTGATTTACATGATAATGGTTTATGTAAAATCTTGAAGAAAACTAATGTTACAAAAAGGGTAATCCAAAAATATACCTTAACCAAAAATACAAGCACCACTGAGGTCCAAAGCATAAAACGTAAAAATTTTATTTTTTACATAGATTACGTCTAAAGTGGTGCACTTAAAATTGAAAAATATGCAACAAATAACTCGTGTATTAAATTAGATGTAGATTTTTGTGCCCCCACTATAGCGGGGGGTATTTAGATTTACCCTTGTCCGTCTGTCCGTTCTCTTTTTGTGTCGCATATAGATCAAAAAGTAATTGACCTAGAGTCATGAAACCTTACAGGAATGTTGATCCCCATGTGAAGTTCAGCACCTGGGTTTTTCATGTGGATATATTTAGTATTTTTAGAGTTATTGCCCTTGATTTAGTAAAAATTTGCAATTTTCAACTTGTGTCGCACGTAACTCAAAAAGTATTTGTCCTAGAGTCATGAAACCTTACAAGAATGTTGCTCAGCATGTGTAGTTGTGCACCTGTGTATTTTTTGTGTGGATATTTTAAGTATTTTTAGAGTTATTGCCCTTGAATTAGTAAAAATTTGCAATTTTCAACTTGTGTCGCTCGTAACTCAAAAAGTATTTGACCTAGAGTCATGAAACCTTACAAGAATGTTGCTCAGCATGTGTAGTTGCGCACCTGGGTATTTTTGTGTGGATATTTTTAGTATTTTTAGAGTTATTGCCCTTGACTAAGTAAAAATTTACAATATTCATCTTGTGTTGCACGTAACTCAAAAAGTTTTTGACCTGTAGGCCTGAAAGTTTACAAGAATGTTGGTCAGAATGTGTACTTATGCACCTTGGGGTTTTCTTGTGGATTTATTCAGTATTTGTAGTATTTGCCCTTTAATTAATAAAATATTTTTAGTTTTCAACTCGGACACATGTAGCCAAAAAAAATATTTGACCTAGAGACATAAGATTGACAAATTGGTGGAGTGTGGGGGCACCTGTGTCCTATGGACACATTTCTAGTTTGTGCAATTATTAGCCTAATTTCAGATAAAATTTTATTTTTGGGTCATTTCGCAGAATGAAAATTATTAATCTGAAGTAATGAATGAAAGAATGATCTGACAATTTGTGCACAAGTAAATGGTGCAGATCACACCAATCTAAAAATAATACTATTACCATTCCCTTCATGTCCCTTTAAAGGACAGCTAAGTTATGATGGCTTCACTTTCCAAGAGTAGTTTAGGTAACGGATTGTCACTAAAGTAGGTCTCTAAGTTAAAAGTACAACATTTATCTTAATATGGAGTTCTTCCTCTATTAAAATGTACATTTGTATCTTTTCTAGCTAGATTCTGAACACTTAGCATACAGGATGAGCAAACCATAGCCATATGCTATTTACAAGAACTATGACTGTCTTTCTGTTTTCTTTTTAAAGTTATTCCCTTTTACTGAATATTTTATTACAGGGAGTTACATTAAAATATATAACTTTTAAATGTTAATTTAGTGGAACAAACAATGAACACAGGCTAAGTTTTGAGGTTTATTAATTAATGTAAACCAGGGGTTGAAAATATCCATCAAAGTATATTGGAAAGAACTGATTAACATTGCATAACCATGTTTTATGTTGTTGAACTATTTCATATACACAAGTTCTGCTACTTGTAAGTCTTGTTTTTGTTCAGTGTTTGTGTTAATTACTGAAGTGACATTTCGTGTTGTTTTTATTTTTTCAGTTTGTATTCCTGGGTATTGTTAGCAGTTTAGAAGTAAATCATAAAACTGTAGATGTCGCTAAGAAGGGACAGGAAGTTTGTGTTAAGATAGAAAATGTACCTAGTGAGACACCTAAACTGTATGGTCGCCATTTTGATCATACAGACATGCTGACTAGTCGGGTAAGTTTAATAACAATTATTTTATATATCTTTTCATGATTGGAAATACCAAGTTTTTTTTAGCGTCAGTGGCCGAGTGGTTAAGGTCGTTGACTTCAAACCACTTGCCCCTCATCGCTGTGTACATAAGATTTTTACAGGCTTAATATTGTACTTTGAGGACATTAACCAATTTTCTTGATTTTTGGACACTATTGTTAGGTGTGGTGGCTAGTGTCAGTATTTCGACTGCAAGACAGACTGATTTTAGAGTCTGATATTACAAGATATCGAAGGGCTAACATGGTTTATATAATAACATGCCCTTTGGTGTAACTAGCATGTGTCAGATATAATACTTTGAGGTCTTTGTCCACCTGAGTGATTCTTAAAGTTTACCATGAAGGCATATATGACCTTTACTAAGTCAGTGTAACTATAACCCCATCAGAAACAATCTCTGATATATCAAGACATATAAAATAGATTACATTTATGTAGCTCTTTCTTATTTTTTCAGGTTAATGTAATCACAAATTAATATATGATAATATACGTCTATTATAAAGGGCTGGGTGAAGGACAGGTCTGCCTTGATTTAAATATTTTAATGTAAAAACCAGGATTATTTCATAATAAAGATAGTGTAGTATTTCATTTTAATTTAACAGTTTTATATAATTTAGATAATTTGCAAGGTCGTATTAATGTAACTGAAGCTGTCTTATGATATCTATAGTAAGTTAGAAACTTGTCTAATGTATTCATCGACTTATTTTCTTACATCAAAAACACAAAATATATATACCTATCCCAGGAAGTTTACATATTACGCAGGAAATGGTCGGATATTTTGGACTATATTAACATTTTTAGACAAAGAGATTTCATATATTTGCATACTAAATGATATTGTTGCTATTTTTTATGAAAATGACTCAGACTAGTCTGTGAAAAAACATAATGTACACATATTTTATAGCAACTTGCATTAATGATATGTTTTGCATTGGATTGCTGATGTAAAACGAAGTTCAGAAATTAATATTATGCGTTATTTGCATGTTTATTAAGTTCACGGAGTTCATCAACACTGTTGTCTTGTTTACAGGTCTATTTTGTATTTTAATATAATATAGTGTAATAGTGCATTACGGGTTGTTGGCCACGTACAGAAGGCTTATACCACAAGATTTCTAACTGTAATTGCGTGAATTAAGATGATCTGAAATTTATGTACGGGATAACCCCCGTTAGGATGCATCCCTAATGCTAGGTACTTTATGATCCGATCAAATACGGGAGTTTATTTTGACACTCGGATTTAATAGGTTTTTTTTGTGTCATTAAGTGTTCATTTAAGTTTTACCTAGTCTGGTGATTCAATAACCACAGGTTATTAAGGTGCACGCAAATTAACTGATATTGCCCATTTTAAGCTTATTTGTTGAGTTTTCAAATTTACTGATATTGCCCATTTTAAGCATATTTGTTGAGGTTTTTATCCATTTTTTGTCTGAGGTGATTTAAAATCTTATCCATGCATAGACTTTTATTAAGATGTTACATTAAGAACTGTTGATATAAAGAAAAAAATTGCATAAGATATAGTAAAATTTAATTTGTTATCAAAATCAGAGTGTTAAAAATGGCAGCATATATATCCCATTTTAAAGTCATAAAATAAATCAGATAAGGGTATATTAAACAACTGACTTGCCGAAAAAGTTATTAAATAACAAAAAATTGCCAGAAATCGTTCGGCTTTCATTTTAAAGCAATTTGTATAAATACCTATACATGTAAATAAGAATAAGAACTCTCAATTATAAGGAATCATATCGAGTATATGAAAATTATATAAACATTATTTGAAAATGACTTCATTGTTGTGCACTGTGTTGAGATTTAACAACATCATATCAAACCTATGATATTCAAGATGTTTGAAATTTCTTTTTAACCTAATCTTTGTAACACAGTCTATAAAACCTCTGACATACTAAAAGTTTCTGATGAACATGTTGGCAAGGCATTATATAGGTTGATCTATTACATTAAACAATTGGGTTGATAAATTACACAAGTTGGTGAGTTACATTATGTTTATACCACTAGAGATGTATAAAGACTTACTATGGTCGACTTTCATGCTACTATACTTGTCATTATATGACATGGGAGCATATTTAGTTTGTATGTTGTACATAGGTATACAAAACATACATTAGTCAATGTAACGTACAGATTGTTACTACTGACCTACATGTGTCTGCTATTTGTCTATGATGTCATATCCTGTTATATAGACTAGTAAATTGTCCGGGTTATAAATTGTCTCATTTTTTGGTCTTAAATCACAGACAGTGCTTAAGTAATAGGCAACATTTTAATTTTAAATTAAGGTAAAGAAGCACTGACCTGTCTTAATTTCTAATCTATCATTTCTGGACTCTGGTATTCCTTTAGCAATGGTTTGAACCAAACATAATTTACATAAATGATTCATTCTTGCCTGTTTCATCCAGACATTGTTACCACACTTTGGTTACATGTTTTTGTTCAAGGACTTGAACACCTTGATTTTGAAAAAAGAAAATTGAGCCCCATCATGACAAAACCAACATAGTAGGTTTGCGACCAGCATGGATCCAGACCAGCCTGCGCATCCGCGCAGTCTGATCAGGATCCATGCTGTTGGCTTACAAACCCTTAACAAGTAGAGAAACTGACAGCAAACAGCATGGATTCTGATCAGACTGCGCGGATGTGCAGGCTGGTCTGGATCCATGCTGGTTGCAAACCCATTATGTTGGTTTTGTCATGACGCGGCTCAAATGAACCCAAACATAATTATTGAATGGCTCTGGCCTCAGCCTGCTGGCAGCCACAGATTGTACACATGTTACCACATGTACCAGTGCAGACGAAGATAATACAGCATGGATCTGTGCTGTCTGATTATGGTTTGCACTTTTAAGTTTAATATAAATTCTGAAATGTTTGTGTGGTTTTGTCTAGATTGAAAGATAGACAGCACCATTTAAAATGTTCAATATTGTAAGGGTTAATATAAAATGAAAAAATTATTTACAGATCAGGAAATAAATTTTAAGGGGTGAAAGATAGTATGGTTTGTAATTAGAAAATAAATAAAACTTTATTAATTTAAAAAAAGAGGAAATAAATTCTATAATAGAAATACTTGGAAATTTATTTAACCGAACAACAGACCGAGTTTAAAAATTAACCCAGACTGTATATATAATGTAGACTGACCATAAAGTTAAATGTAAGCTGCTGAAGTTAAATCATTTTATACTGAAATCTATGTAATAAACAACTGACAGTTTCTGCCAATTCTAGGCAGGGCAGATCTTATTTAACAAAACAAGCTTTTGGGATGACGTAAATTATAAGGAAAGTAAGTATATTGATTGAAAGGTGTCTTTAAACTGATGCAACTTTGAAGAAGGTGAAAAGGCCGTGTTTCCTCAGAATGTTTATCTTATGATTCCATTATTTCTATAACATGATAGGAGACTGGACTGATGGTGGTAGGCAATATGTTTAATTTCATGAAAACACTAATTGTTCAGGAATTCTCTACAGGTGCCAGAAATATCAGGCAAGGTACACAAACCAGGCTCAAAATAGAACCAGTGTTTATTGTGAATCTGCTGATATCTCGCCTGACCTGTTTCCTAATTCCTCTACAGTAGCTAAATCATAGAATTACCATCATCTCGTTATAGCTTCGTCTTGTCTTTATTTGCCTGGCCACATAAATGTCTGTTGTATGTAAAATGTTAAAATTGACATGATATATGTAAATGTTAGTGAAATATTGAAGTGGAGGAACTCTGACATTTCATGTTCTTGTCCTTTGATGGGTCTATCCTTTCATGAAAACATTTGTCCCAGAACATAAATCTTACTCTAAAATCCATTTAAATATAGTTACATAGAAATAAAATTATATAATAATGTATAAAATCACAATTTCCCACAGCACATATTATACAATTGTCAATTCAAGCGGCATATTTACCTTGTAGTCAAAAAGTATGACAAACAATCTTGTATTATAGACACAGCTCGGTAATAAATGTCCAAGTGTTTTATAAACTAAACACTATTCTTCCTGTTATTTTATTTAATGCAGGATAAAAAAACATTGTTGACTAGAAATAATCTTGTTTGTTTTTCGTTGTATATATTTGATATAATTATATAATTTGTATAGATTTGGTGCACAAGCATCTTTTAGATTATAATTATCATTCTTTAAAATTGAACACAGTTAAAAAATGGAATTTGCTCAGAAATACTCTAATACATTTTTTTTTGTTTTTCAAATAATGATTATACTTTTTATTACAAATTTGTGATTCCTGTCAGTTAAAATATGCATATTAAGTTTTTTAACACATGCATCTTATTCTATAATTTAATAAGTAGAAGTTAACTGTTACAGCATTGTAAGTTTGTAAGGAAAAGTGTATGTTTAGTTAATTGTTATTTTTATTGTAAAGTCATTTGTACCTGACTATAATTATTATGGTATATAGGGAACTTTACTAATACTAAGAACTAATGCAGAATCCAGAAGCATTTATTATATAAGTAACTGCCGATTTCTGTACAACTAAAATTATGTATAAGAAATAGATATATATCGTATGAACAAAGGAATGACTGTTTAGTTTGCCAAAGAGGTTATATCAAAATTCCAGAGCTTTTATGTAGAACAAAGGATTAATCTGGTAGAAAACAGAAAACCTTGTTTATACCTACTATTATCTAAAACACCTGGAAAGTTATTATATTATACTTCCAGCATTTTATTAATATGGCTGAAAAACGAGTACAAGTTAAAAGGGATTTTACTGTAGTGTCATTTTTAACACCCGTAGCAAATTGATTTTAACTGAGTGAGGCCAGGTGGGCCAAGATGTGAATATATGCATGTATACCTATCTGAAGATATTTACCTATTATCTGCTTATGAATACATTGATGACAGTGGTAATCTATTCAAATTTTATGCAAATGAGATTCAGTGATAGCTTGTATCAGTCCATATCAGGAAAGTTAATGAGTTTGCCGGTGAATGAAATCTTTAGCTAGTCCTGACGTACTCATAAAAACTTTATGAATGAAAAGTGTTAAACAAGGAAATAGGAGGGCCAGAAATATTTTCTATGTTTACTTTGTCATATGCTAATGCAGTAATTTAAATGTCATCAGTTCATATTGTTGTCTTTGTTTCTGTTTTTTTTCTTGGGGCCCAACATGTATGTTTCCTGTGTGTGGCGTGTGTTTTGCATAATTAAACTTATTTGAACAGATACAAATTACCATAATTAAACTGGCTTGAAAGCCTCAAAATTAAAACTCAAACATTTGTACCATATCAATTGTAAATACATTTTGTACATGTATATGAATACAGTACATCCCCCACCCCAACTGTCTTAAAAAGCATCAGTGGACATTTGCCCCCTTTCCCCCTACACCCTGTTCGAACATTTGCTTAAGTGTTTGTTTCAATAAAAAGGCAAAAATTAATGAATTGTTATTGAAATAAATGCATAATAATATAAAAGTGATTTATAGGGGACAAATGACCTTGGGGGTCAAGTGTCCATTTACCCAAATATATACCTTTAAGACAGTCTAAGGAGTAAGGGATTGTCAGTCACCTTGAGTTATTATGTAATCATCACACTTTAATTTGCTTTTTGTGTGTTTTGGTCATTTGTTCACAATCTTGACCCTAAACAAGGGGACAGGGTCACTTTTATTTTATTTGTAAATGTTCACAGGGAGTCTATTATATTCTTAACACTGTGCAAGTATTGAAATGATATTGTTGTGATATATTTTCAGATATCAAGAACCTCAATAGATGCAGTGAAAGACCATTTCCGAGATGAAATGACAAAACAGGACTGGGCATTAATGGTTGAGCTGAAAAAACTGTTCCAAATATTATAATATTTGACCGAAATATTGAGACACATATTTTTTGCTGAAACAGAAGTGACATGTATAGAATTTGAAGCAATCTGTCGACAGTTCCAGCTGCTGTCACCCAGAGAGCTTAACAAAAGATATGTTAGAAATAGTTTGTACTGTATTGTACAATGAAACATTGTTAAAGGGTGATTATGAAATATTTATAACATGAAGCTTGTTTTTAGCTCACCTGAGCTAGCTCAGGGTGAGCTTTTAGGGTCGTCTGTTGTCTGTCCGCATTTGTTCGTCAACACTCTAGTGGTCACATTTTTGCCTCAATCATCATCAAACTTTGTCAGGGTAATGGCTTGGATGAGTTTGAACATAGGTCATCTCGGATGAAAAACTAGGTCACAGGACCTAAAAATAGAAAATTCTTGTTACCACTCTAGTGGCTACTGTTTTGATCCAAATATCCAAAGTTTGTTTTGATGATTTCGAATATGACCGGTCAAAAACTAGGTCACACCGCCCAAATATGGAAAAAAAAACCTTTAGTGGTCACTTTGTTGACTCAATTGTCATCAAACTTGGTCAGGATGCTTGTCTAGATAATTGCTGAGATGAGTTCAAACATGGGTCTTCTCGGATGAAAAACTAGGTCACAGGAGCTAAAAATAGAAAAATCTTCTTCACACTAGTAGCTACTGTTTTGATCCAAATATCCGGGAAATTGGTCTGCAAGTTTATTTTGATGATTTCTAGGTCAAGTTGAAATATGCGTCACCTGGGATCAAAAACGAGGTCACACTGCCTAAATATAGGAAAACTTTGTTAACACTCTAGAGGTCACATAAGTAATTGCTCGGATGAGTTAGATTGGTCAGGTGAGTGATCTAGGGCCATCTTGGCCCTCTTGTTTATAATAATCATGAAGTTATATTGGTCTTAATATTATGTTTAAGTCCAATATAGGAGTTTTGTTTTTCAAGCTTTAAACACATGCTTGTTATCCCCGTCATTAGATTTGGAAAGATGGTATTTAAATGGTTTTTCTGTCCGTCTGTGAGTCTATCAGAATCCATATGTTAGAAATTGTTGCCCATTTTTCCATTAAATTTGGTCAGGAATATGAATAGGATGATTAAAAGGGGATCACTAAGGTTCATAAAAAAAATTTACAAAGTGGTTTTGAATTGAAAAAAAAGCTTCTTTTTTTAGGGGGGGGGGCTGTATTTTACAGTTGGTTAATCACATTGTTATGACACTCAGGATAATGATAGATCACAAGATCAGTTGCCACAAGGCATTACACAATTTTTGTAAAACTTTTTCAATGTCATTATTATTATACAAAATATATCTCAAATATCAAAATGATATCATTCACTATCAGAGCCATTTTTCACTTGACTGTTCAGTATTATGGGGTTTGTATCATTATAAGTAGATATACCAAACTCATTTTCACTACAATTTTGTTTATATTGATAACTCAAATGGCTTCAGTCAAGTGATTTGTATCATTATAGCTGGGGATATCAATTTGGTGAATTTGCTTATTTATAGCATATGTCATCTTAACATAGTCATAAAATCAGGATTCAACAGTTTGTCAAGGGTTATAAATCTATTTTACATTTTATGAGAATGGCCTCCCTTTATACATTGGTATAATTTTGCTGAAAGGTTAAGTTGTGATAAATTTTCTTTGACCGTTTTTTTCCCTTACATCTGATTCAGAAATAATGATGTGTTAGTAGTTTGATGACTTGTAGAGAAATTGGTACTGGTTAGTTATCAAAGAAAGCAAGTAAGATAGTCCATCCATTGAAATATGTCCATTATTGTGTTGAAATTGTCACATGAAACTGACAAAGAAACCTTGACAATTGGTGGATGACAATTTTATTAAATTCCATTTGCTGCCTTTCATTGACAGTATGTAGAGAAATACTGGTCATAAAAAAAATGCCCTGCCTATTTATGACTGCAATACTGTTGCCATTTTGAAGTATTAGTATGTTTATTTTCTTTATTTAAGTGACATTATGCTCATTTTTTCACTGTCAAGTTCAGCTGAATTGTCTATGTATTTCAAAAATTTTGATTGTTTTAATGATGATTGACCAACAGTTGATATTTGAAAGTCTTCAGGATAAATATAGATCTGACCTAGATATAAAAAGACTGCCCCACTCTGTATTTTAATAAAAAAAATAAAGAGGAGATACCTCGAGAGTATAGAAATGTCTTTAGGTCATGTGAGTTATTTATCATTCATGCATAGTAAATTATAAAATTGAAAGGAAGAACAGTATGGGAAATTGTAAACTTTTTTTTACTTTGACCTCTTCATTTACTATTTATCCTTGGATGGGCATAATGTCACTTTAACACAAAATAAATGTACATCAAGTGACTGTATCTCCTCTGATCAAATGAGAACCATTCAATATAAAACTGATGAGCAATGATTGTTCTACCTTAATGATCAAATAAAAGTCATGACACATTTTATTCATATTCTCACTTCACAGTGCATAAAGTTCTCATTTGGAAACAAAACAAGATATTATTATAACAATGAAATAAATAAATGAAAAAGTGTGAACTTAAAATATATTATGTGATATTATTTAATTTGTTTACATCTTGGACAACAGTATATATGTTACATTTGTTTATTTTTATGTCTATTTAAGGAGAAACTATGATATATTATTGGTATTATTTCAGTGTCCGATTTAACCTCATTTTTCACCAACAAGGGTTAATGCATGACGTAAAAAGGTTCTGGCTTAATAAAGGTCATGGTTCTATTATAAATTATATATGCATCAAATGTTGAGTCCTTTAATTCTTTTACTTTTAATAATAAGTTACTTTTTGTTTGCTATAAGCTTATAGGCAAACTTTCAAATCTTTTCCTGAAACCAATTTCAGTAGTAAGCAATGAGAGCAAAGTTTTTGCTCAAGGAAACAATGGCTTGCACCTGTTAGGGTTTGAACCAATATGACTAGCAATACTTAGATTACTAGTCAGACGCTTTAACCACTGTGCTGCAGCAGTTAGTAATATTGACCAGTTTTAAAATATTTCCAGTAATGTATGAGTTACATTGTACATAACTTGTAACTTAATATGGAAGAAACATTCATTGTTGTGGAAGATCCCACAAATATGTTCCAATTTACAAAATAATCATTAACAGTTTAATATTTAACTTAACTGACATGTGTACATAAAATGTGTTCTTGAATATAACACATTATTCTGTCATAGAAACATGTTGTTCTTCAGCATGACTTTCTTGTTCTGAGGTTACTATATTAAAAAAAATATATAAAGTACATTGTATTTAACATAAAATTTGCTTAATTTATGCTAAATTGGCCTGCTTTGAATTATGTACTGTCTGTAAGTGTATTGTAAATGATTTCAATATTGAAGTGCTTATGTTCATATTAAAGTGCTTAAGTTTAGCAATGAAATGTACATATTACTGTTGGAAGTGCTGACTAACTATAGGCACATGGTATGATAGTGAACAGGGTTTAGAGATGAGTGAGCTAATACAAGAGATGTAAGTTGTGAAAATATATGTATAAAACCATGTTTGCTTTATTATTTGTTTTGACAAGAATTTATTTTCTTGTAAATTTAAAAGTATACATTTATGTTGATGAAAGTCTCTTCTTTCTTTTTTGGTGCATGAATAAATAAAAGAAAAAAAAATCTCAAACTATTGATTTTGTTTTGTTGTTTTTAGATTGTATGAACACGTTTTTGATATGAGATTTAATGACGGCTTGATGTCCGTTGTCTGTGCATGCTCTGCTGCACAATGGCAGTTTTATTTTAGCCCAGCTAACCACTTTGTGGTCATGGTGAGCTTTTGATTACCTGATGATGTCTGCCATTTATATGTGAATCAGATGCAATACAAGTTTCATTTCATATTTGATCAAGCATTTTTATACCCCCGAAACGAAGTTTGGGGGGGGTATATAGGAGTCACTTGGTGGCTGGTCGGTCCAGACGTCCGTTGCATTTTCCTTGTCCGGAGCATAACTTGAAGACTAATAACTAATGGTTCGAATTCAATACAACTTCATAAAATGGTCAAGCACATTGAGAGGAAGTGCAGTGCACAAGAACCATAACTTTATCATTACTAATTACAGAGTTATTGCCCTTTGTTACTTTTCCTTGTCCGGAGCATAACTTGAAAACTTCTGGTTGGAATTCAAAACAACTTCATACAATGGTCAAGCAGAATAAGGGGAAGTGCAGTGCACAAGTACCATAACTCTATCTAAAGTAATTACAGAGTTATTGCCCTTTGTTTCTTTTCCATAGCTTTCTTTTGTCCGGATCATAACTGGAAGACTAATTGTTGGAATTCAATATTACTTCATACAATGGTCAAGCACATCGAGAGGAAGTGCAATGCACAAGAACCATAACTCCATCTTGACTAATTACAGAGTTATAGCCCTTGGTTACTTTTCCTTGTCTGGAGCATAACTTGAAAACTACTGGTTGGAATTCAAAACAACTTCATTCAATGGTCAAGAACAATAAGGAAAAGTGCAGTGCACAAGAACCATAACTCTATCTAAAGTAATTACAAAGTTATTTTTGTTACTTTTCCATTGCTTTTTTGTCCGGAGCATAACTTGAAGACTAATGGTTTGAATTCAATACAACTTCATACAATGATCAAGCACATTTAGAGGAAGTGCAGTGCACAAGAACCATAACTCCATCTTGACTAATTACAGAGTTATTGCCCTTTGTTACTTTTCCTTGTCTGGAACTACTGGTTGGAATTCAATACAACTTCATACAATCGTCAAGTGCAATGAGAGAAGTGCAGTGTACAATAACCATAACTCTATCTTCAGAATTTGTAGAGTGATTGCATTTGTTCCTTATCCGGTGCATAACTTAAAAACTAATGTTTAAAAATTCAATGCAACTTCATACAATGATCAAGCGCAATGAGAGGAAGTGCAGTGCTCAAGAAGCGTAACTCTTTCTGGACTTATTACAGACTAATTCAATAAAACTTCATCAATAGTCAACCACATTGAAAGGAAATGCAACATACAAGAACCACAACTATCTTTAATTGCCCACACTCATAACTCTATTTCAATTCTTTTGTAAGGTATTCTGTTACTAGTATCTTCCTCATTTCTGAAGCAGTCTTACGGGGGTATTAATCACATTTAGTGATAGTTCTAGTTTTTTCTGAGAAACAACTATACCCAGCGTGCGTTATTAAGCATAACCTTGTAGCACACTTGTTACAAAAGTTGTATAACTCTTAGTCCCAAGTGATTAAAATCCCCTCCCCAACGACCATTGGGTTTTCTTAGTTTATATAGACTTACAGGAAAACACTGGGAAAGTACATGGCCTGGAGTTTGGGCATGAGGCAATGCCTAGTGGACCTTTCCTACATTTTGTATAATTATTAGCTCGACTATTCGATAAGAATAAGTAGAGCTATTGCAGTCACCCGAGCGTCGGCGTCGGCGTAACCACTTATGTTAAAGTTTTTGTAATAGTTCAAATATTTTCAAAGTTCATTGACATATGGCTTTGAAACTTTGCACACTTGTTCACCATCATGACCCCAACCTGTAGACAGGAGGAGGTAACTCTATCAAGCATTTTGACAGAATTATGCCCCTTTTTCGACTTAGAATTTACGTTAAAGTTTTTGTAATAGTTCAAATATTTTCCAAGTCCATTGACATATGGCTTTGAAACTTTGCACACTAATTCACCATCATGACCCCAATCTGTAGACAGGAGGAGGTAACTCTATCAAGCATTTTGACAGAATTATGCCCCTTTTTCGACTTAGAATTTATGTTAAAGTTTTTGTAATAGTTAAAATATTTTCAAAGTCCATTGACATATGGCTTTGAAACTTTGCACACTTGTTAACCATTATGACCCCAACCTGTAGACAGGAGGAGGTAACTCTATCAAGCATTTTGACAGATTTATGCCCCTTTTCGACTTAGAATTTACGTTAAAGTTTTTGTAATAGTTCAAATATTTTCCAAGTCCATTGACATATGGCTTTGAAACTTTGCACACTTGTTCACCATCATGATCCCAACCTGTAGACAGGAGGAGGTAACTCTATCAAGCATTTTGACAGAATTATGCCCCTTTTTCGACTTAGAATTTACATTAAAGTTTTGTAATAGTTAAAATATTTTCAAAGTTCATTGACATATGGCTTTGAAACTTTGCACACTTGTTCACCATCATTACCCCAACCTGTAAACAGGAGGAGGTAACTGTATCAAGCATTTTTTACTATCAAACACTTAGAATAGTCGAGCGTTGCTGTCCTACCGACAGCTCTTGTATAAATCATGGTCCTAGGAACAAAAACGGTATGACAGGAATTCTGCCTTGTATGATTATGACGAATCTCGGCCGTCATGGACCTTCTATATGCTAACTGATATATTGATGTATAATTATATGTATATTAATGTGATATATTAAAAAAATTGTTTTTTGGAAATTCTTGGCATGTTTCTGACTCGGGCTGAAAACGTGTGATATGATAGTTAGAATTAGGTTGTTGTGTCGAACAATTTATATAGTCAACCAAGCCAATCGAAAGTTTCGTCACGCAAAATCCATTCTAAATGGTATAGGATTGGCCA